AGCCTATGTCACTCCTAGCGTAAAGAGGTACGTATAAGTAGCCTATGTCACTCCTAGCGTAAAGAGGTACGTATAAGTAGCCTATGTCACTCCTAGCGTAAAGAGGTACGTATAAGAAGCCTATGTCACTCCTAGCGTAAAGAGGTACGTGTAAGTAGCCTATGTCACTCCTAGCGTAAAAAGGTGCGTATAAGTAGCCTATGTCACATCGATTAAAGGCACAACATTCAGCGTATGGAATCGCCCAGTTTTCCAGCGTATGAAAATAAACATAAAGCAGCATATGAATTTGTTTTATGAAAATGCTTAAAACAATTGATCTCCCTCCGCTTATGCAAATGAACGCCAACGTTTACGAACGTACTAGAGACGTATACGACGTAAGTTTAACGATCCCCATGCGTTTGTCTGAGTATGGACAATTTTTCTCATACGTTAGTGCTATTCGCTTATTTTTACTGTGCCACATGTGACACTTCACTGTACAACTGCTGCATGCATATGTGTATACCAGTATATTGTTTAAAAAATGCCGTTGAACAAAGATTCGAAATAGATCTACGTCAATTTACAGCGTCTGTTTTACCATTCAACCCGTTGTCAACTTTGTCCATAAACAAAGGAACAGACACGTCACTAAGTCCTGGAGTACTTCAAGACACAAACACCTTGCTGCAATCTCTGTAATGTAAGAAAATCGAACTTAGCAAGTATTTATTTGTATGAATATTATGTAGGTGGACGGGCTGGGAAGTTTCTTTCGTCGCATATGCGTACCTGTGAGTGTAAAACAATTTTTTTCTTGTCACTTCTGTTGTGTTTAGAAATCATGAAATGGAAACGTGTGTGATTCAGCACATTGGTGTAGAACATAAATCAAGTTATTTTGGTTGAATTAATACTTTTAGTGACATATCGCGGGCATTCTTATATAAGTGAGATCGTATCGGCACTGAAGAATTTTTACACGATCAAAATAAATTAAAAGTGGGCAGCGCACAACTCAGCAACTGACACATGGGCTTTGTTTGAAATGATGACGCTGCAGATACAGGTGAATTTTGAGATGATTTTCAAAGGAGAATGAGATATTTATTAATTACTGTGTTCAGAGAGGAAAACGAAAGGGATATGTCACTGCAGTAGACAACAATTGGTTACAAAAAACGTTCAGGACCTACGTTCATGGAGTAATCACATGGCAGTAGACGGAGATTGAATCTGTTCAGGTCCAAATTACAGAGGTGTCAATTGTTTTAAGTGGAGTCAATTGTTTCACTTAGTATCAATGCCCTTTTCTTAGGCTTCGTGTAAAAAAGAAAAATAGCACTGTTGTTGATAGGTTGTCCTTGTCACGGACCAGCCGCACGTTGAGTGTATGTTATGTATAAAGAACAAAACGCTATTCATTAAAATGGACATAAAACGTGTGATATATTTGAAATGATGGTGATGATAAAATTGGAACCGACGCCGTCTGTTATCTTAACTCTATGATGCTAATGAGTCAGTATAAAATTATATTCAGTGGCTACCTCTCGTCTACCTCTATATGTATATTGTTATCCCTTTTTACATCCGCCAAGGAGGTTATGTTTTCACCCCTGTTTGTCTGTCATCAACATAACTCAAAAAGATATGGACCGATTTTGATAAAATTTTCAGGAACTGTCAGAAGTGGGCCAAGGAAGAGATGATTAATTTTTGGTGGTGAACCGGATCAACAATCAATCAATAATCAATAATAATCAAAAATCGCTGCCTTGGCGGAGGTCTGCGCTCTCGGAGTGCTTATCTAGTTCAGTCTGCTTTTAGTGCATGTAGTTTTTAAACTGTGTACTGTGTACTGTGAACCACATTATTTCCTTTCCCCGTCACTTTCCTATGCCTTGTGGGTTGTTTATTATTCTCTTTCCCCGTCACTTTCCTATGCCTTGTGGGCTGTTTATTATTTGCTTTCCCCGTCACTTTCCTATGCCTTGTGGGTTGTTTATTATTTGCTTTCCCCGTCACTTTCCTATACCTTGTGGGTTGTTTATTATTTGCTTTCCCCGTCACTTTCCTATGCCTTGTGGGTTGATTATTATTTGCTTTACCCGTCACTCTCCTATGCCTTGTGGGTTGTTTATTATTTGCTTTCCCCGTCACTTTCCTATGCCTTGTGGGTTGTTTATTATTTGCTTTCCCCGTCACTTTCCTATGCCTTGTGGGTTGTTTATTATTTACGACTCATCCTGCACATAAACTGTTTTTCTTTTAAATTTCTTCCAAACAAAGGCAGAGTTTAATTTTTACTGAAAGCAAACGATTCTTGAAGATTCTATCCGCCTGTCGCATCTCTCTTTAATAGAAAAACAAAACGTTTTAAACTTTTCTTCCCTTATTTCATCTTCGTAATTGTTTATCTGAGATGTTTATATAATTTTATTCGTATTTTAATATATATGTACAATGCCTGAAAAACTTTATTATCATTATTCTATTCTTATTATTTCAACTCATCTGGCTGACACTAGCAGTTTCTCGGACAGAATGATTAAGAGAGATTTATGGTCGCTATGATGTTAGACAATCTTATCATTTGAATAAGTTGCCAGATTAAAGATAATTGAAGACTCCACACAGTGCAGTTATAGTGTCATGCATCTCTTGACTACGACAGTTCGCTCTATGATGTATTCCCCGTGTCAGACAACTGACAGCAGACGTCGCACGTGATTAGTTATGATTAAATCGTTTTTGGAATGTCTATAGTCATTAAGATTAAGCAATCTTTTGACAAAGCCTTAATTCTAAATTATGCATATAAATGAAAGGGAGTCGCCTTTAAAAAAGACGCACCTTGACCTGTAGGTTCACACCTCAGCTATCACCTGTAGTGTCCATCCGACGCCCGCTGACCACTACACCGTCTTCCAGCCGAACCATGAAGGTTGCTGTTGCTCTCCTTTGCCTCTTCGCCGTGGCTTCTGCCAACTACAAGAAGGTTTCCGAACACGTCAAGCCTTTTGTCACCTACAAGAAGGCCATCAAGGTCCACAAGGTAAGCAGCTCATTGAAAAATATGTAAGAGGTATTAAATGTTAAGACAGTTTTTAAAATCTGTAAATATTTAGTTGCGGAGTCAACTAGGAGCAATGTGTGGTATTATAGTAAATATGAATCTTTGCACAATATATTTCCAATTATTGAATATTTTCATCATAATAGAAATAAATCACGGTAAAGACAACAAAGTAAGAGGCAATTGAAATGATCTAATTTTTCTCTCTCCCTTCAGGTCCCAACCCTCAACTACGTGAAGGTTCCAAGCTATAAACTTGTCAAGGTTCCAACAGTCAAGGTTGTACCTGTCCATGGCAGTAAACTGGTGAAGAACGTCGTCCCAGTCCCAGTGAAGGGCTACACCGTCCAGCGTACCGTCATCGGCGGTGGTCATTACGGTGGTCTGGGCTATGCTGGTCTCGGTGGCTACGGTGCTGGCTACGGTCTTGCTGGCGGTCTCCGCAGCTACGGATATGGTGCTGGTCTCGGCTACGCTGGCAAGGCTCTTGGCCTCGGCTACGGTCACGGCTACGGCTACGGCGCTGGCTACGGATACGGCAAACATTAAAGTCTTTAAGTAAAGTAAGCAGCGATATTTGTTCTCTTTCTGGTTTATTTTTTGCCCTGCATTTACTAAATGACGTGAGCGATTTAAAGTTTGCAGTAAATATTGTGAGCTTGGTTAAAAGCGTTGGATCTTGCCATTGGATCTTGAATTTTATCTGAACAACAAGTCATCGTCGGTTTTCCAGTTAAGCGAAAGACTGCCTTGAAAGAGGGCAAATAAGAAGCCCTTTTATAGCAGTGCAAATGGAACATCTTTATGAAGCACTTTTGAATGGGAAAACGAACTGTTACCGGATAAAACATTAAATGCCGTAATCTTACATTGCAGGATATCCCAGTGTTATGCGCACAAGACAGTAGAAGATGATTTACAGCATTTTTGACCAGTTCATTTGAAGTAAATGTAGCAAAACGTCGCACCAGCTTGAAATAAGATGAATAATTCATTTATGAAATACGTCATTTATCTACTTGCTTAATTATTCATTTATTTAGCATAAATGTTTTCATTGTGGATAAACCATTTTCATTTCCGTCTCACCATCATATTGTATGGTAATACGTTTTCATTGTGCCAATAAAAGAGTATAACATTTTAACCTGTTTGGTGGTTTGATGTCGTTGATGCTTTCATTGAGGTCACTTTGTCATGGTACACACAGCTACTCGTACAGCAGCCAAAATCATTTTTATCTCTGGAGTTTGTAAGACTCCGTTTGTGCCATCACTTCTCTTTACCTTTTAACCAGTTTAAAATGTTTAAATGTGGTCTGTTTGAGTCATAGTACAGTTATCCAGACAAGTGTTCTGATGTCTCTGTAGGAAATCTCTGTATAAGTAATGTAAACACAGTATGTAACTCCCTGGTCGTTGATAACTGTGGTTTGATGACTGCACCACGCTAGTCAGTGTTGCATGGACATGAACAAACATCATGTCAGATCTTGTCATCTATTGCGTTCGGGCCTGCTGAAACGATTTTTCTACGTTAAGTTCCACTTACGATTAAAACAACTTCTGATACACAGTGAAACAAATCGCGGTACACATGAGAACGACCAGAAGTGGCGCTGGTTGGTGGTGGGTGGCGGCGTTACACAGGTCTGAGTTACATATACACACTTCAGTGTCCACGCCGTCAACGTTGGACCTGTGGCATTCCGTGGGGTTCTCAACAGGAAAGCAACCTCTGGACACGGAGTGTGTGTCTGGAAATGAAATAACAATAATAAGTTTTGGTTGTAGCCACGTGGAGTCTAATCATTTCCGGCAATGTGCCAGATTTGGGCTAGATGTTAACCTGTCTATTGTGTTAGAGGAGTCTCCCTGTACACAATATGTGTCAGAGTGGGGCTAGATGTTAACCTGTCTATTGTGTTAGAGGAGTCTCCCTGTACACAATATGTGTCAGAGTGGGGCTAGATGTTAACCTCTGTGTTGTGCTTGCGGAGTCTCCCAATTTAAGTTACATAATCCACAGAAAAAGTGAATTTCAGTACTCAGAACTATATACATGTTCATATTGAGAGAAAAAATTCTAATATTTTGTGTCATGCAACATTTCCATCAAGAGAGAGGTTTTAAAGATGGCACCCGACTGCGTCAGTTCACCTTGTACTTGTTTTCAGAAGTCACGGGAAGACCTCACAATCGTTCTACATTTTCCATTTGTTCTATTATTCCCTGGCCTATAGAAACTAGAGAAAGAAAACAACACTCACTTCCCCTTCGTGCTCTCCAAGATCCGCCCCATTGGCCATATATTCCCCCTGCCAAGCCAACCAGCCATTAAACCTGTGATGCATGTTTATTTCTAGGCAAGGGGCGGGTTGTGACTTTTTAGACGTGACTGGTGTTTATATTATTACAGCTACATGTATATCTGAGACTGCCGTTATAATGCTTTGACATAGTAAGATATAAGCGCAGATATGAGAAAACCATAGCCTTCACGTAGATGGCGGTAGATAAAACCTCATTTTCTGCAACTCGTGAATATAAATGAGTATTATCCGAGTCAAATATGGGCGATACCTAGTCTTTTCAGAGCTCTTGGATTACAGTGTTATCACTCAATAAAGTTGCTAGCTATGAACTCTTAAGAGTTGATTATACCTCTGAACAAGTTTCTAACGCCTCATTTCTTAAAAAGTAGCATAGCCGTGTATTATATATCAGAACACCGTGAAGAGCTGCGTGGACACCATGCACAAAGTAAGGAGTCAGCACATGTCCCTACCCAGCATTTAGGTAATATGAGAGAGAGAGAGACGGAGGGAGAGGGAGGGGGAGGGAGAGAGAGATGAAGGGATCACCTGTCAGTACGGCCTTGGCCTTAACACAACCATATTCGCAGTAGATGGTGTCGTCGCCGGAGTCACTGGGGGAAAAGGGGTCTGCACACGTTGAGCTGGTGGCCGGGCACTGGTAACATCTGAACGCAGACGCTGGGAAAATATTTCAAGTTAAAAACCGTTCTACTCTAGCACAGCGACAGTTGTATGAGTACCTCGAATACAGTGCAATACGAATACAAAAAATGCAGTACACAAATATATGTTGTTCGGTTAATTTGTCTGTAATATTTAAGTCGTGAAACATTTTTACTCTTTCTTCAGCAAGATACCAACCTTACCACTGGAATATATACACAAGTAGTCAGTTACGGAAATGCGTGTTAGTACTCCCTAGTGGTTTCATATTTGTTGTAAAAAAATTAATCAATTTACAGAAATCGTTTGCCTTGGCTATTGGAAAATGCATATGCTTTGGCACTTTGTTTCATTGTTAGAATCAAACCACACAATTTTAATTATCAATTTTAATTTCCATTGTACGTCAAGGTTTGACACTAAAATGTGAGTAGATTTCGCAAGGAATACCAACAAAAGTTACAGACGCAAGAGGAACTCTCGCCTCAGCATTACAGCCTACCTGTATGGACGTATAAGATCATAAACACTAAAGAAATCATCTGCGTCTTCATTGTGTATGTTTAACCTCCGTGGTCTGGGCAACACTGTCACAGGCGGGGAGTCCAGGCGTATAATGCCACCCAGATAATCTACGGTATTTCATGCATCCCGTATAGATGGAGACTGTAGATATTTCAAACCACTAATATTTTGAGAAAATTTACAGCAAAATAATCTAAAAAAAAGACGGTTGACAGATAACTTCTTTTTAATTTTATTTTTAAAATGATATCGCACTAATATACACATTTTATTCATTTTACAATAACTAAGGTAAACTTATCAAATATTGTATGGTATTGCAAATAAAATATGACTTCTTGCACACCTACTGTAGCACTTTCTTACCGCAAGACTGCCTTGATAACCCATTTATGTACACCTCTGTGTTGAAGATCCTTCTAGATATGAGCACCTTTATGTTAATGTCATCTTTGTTATAAGCACCGTTCTCTATGTTGACGCACAAACTCAGCAACGTTTGTTGAAGATAATTCTTCGGCGATGAAGACATTTTCACTCAAAGTCATGAAAACTTTTGAGCTTGCAAGATGGAAGTACGTTGAGTAGATTAATAATTCTGGTATTTAGTCTCTATTACCTAAGATACAAGGTAAATCTGGCATTTAGTCTCTATTACACACAGTGCACCTAAGATACAAGATAAATCTGGCATTTAGTCGCTATTACACACAGTGCACCTAACATACAAGATAAATCTGGCATTTAGTCTCTATTACACACAGTGCACCTAACATACATGGTAACCGGAGTAACAACATTTCTTGGCTCTCTGCGTCTAACTGTGCCCATAACATATAGCACAGACGCTGGCTAATTTATGCCCTGGCCATTGGATGCACTTTAAACACTAGAGATGACCATTGTTTTAGGCCCATGACAACGGCATGTACATACGCCATTTTCATCCCCACTCAGTGTGACCGTTGATATGTGTGATTGTCCACAGTTATCTGTGTGCAAACAGCAATGACACCAATATCTCTAATATATGTTATACCAGATACATACTGTATTGACACATTATCATCACACAAAGCAAAGATATACCAAACACCCATATACAGGTATACTAGTTATGGCGCCACATTGGCAAGCCTTGCTGTTATGTTATTTTGTTGTCTGCGATATTGTTGATGGGTTCAACACGAAGGTAAGTCGCTTTCAGGTTATTCCACCGACATTCACATTAATTATTGTTTCCGTCGAGTCTTAATAATTCATGAATTGACGGCAAGAAAATATAAACATTTGATTTTCTACTTTTATGCACAAACATGCAATCATGTACATGGTTGTGGGCGAGTATCTTTTGTTATTCGAAGTGTCTTTAAGGATGAGTAATAACCCCGGTTTTGTATATCATTTGTCGTCTGCCATACATGCATATCTGTCAATAACCATCTTTTTTTAATATCAGATAGTCTTAGCAAAAAATTGTCAAGTTGTCTTGGTTCAAGAAGTTCAAGTATTTGTAGTTTATAACCAGGGTCGTTAGTTACTTAGAGCTTTTTCATAATGACATATGTAGCTACCAACAATGTGCTGCACAGGCTGGAAAGTGGTTTATCTTTTAAGGTGCTGCCACCTATAAAACACGGGCATGAAGTCGGTATCATCATCATCCCTGGTGCTTTAATTGATGCGGAAGCCTACACACCCCTGGGTATGCATCGTTTGATCCTAACCCTAACAGTGGAACTGTACGCTTCGGTTCAAATATTATTTAATAACCATATGAAACCGTACATAGTTGTACGCATGTCGCGCCACATTGCTAATGTAGGCATAGTAATCTTTCAAGAATGTATTTTTAGCCGCCAAAAATTAAGAAGCCACAAGTAGTTGTGTACATGTAAAAGTCTCTTTAACCTTGGGTCGTTCCACATTAAAGTCACGGCATTCCATGTTCCAGCAAAGCGACTGCAGGCGGAGTCACCACATAGACTGTGGGTCGGTCTCTCAGGCGGTTATCCAGCAGGGATTCCTGGTAATGTAGGTCCAGGTATTGCCCAGGCACTGACGGACCTCAGAGCAGCTGGCATGACAACGAACACTGTCTTCATGGCTGGACATCAGATGGGAGGTGAGACATTTTACTGTCGTGAAGTACCCCATTAAGTGTACCGTATTTATATGATCCTTTTAGATGTTTCGACCCTGACACCCTTACTTTCTTCATCTTGTAGAAAACACTGTATTTGAACTCGTGTTTCCATTTTCGTTCTTCAGAATTTCAGGAATATTTGAGTCTAAATAAAACTTGTAAACTAATCCAATTTACTTCACCTAATCTGATTTATGTGAATTCTCCCTTCCTTTATTCTGTCAGTGTTCATATCTCTTTATTTCCATTCTGCTGTATTCGTTTCCGTGTAGGAACCTATCTTAGTATGTACCTACAGGAGAACAAGACTAATGCCACCGCCATGATCTTGTTGGCTGCCTTTCGCTGGATAGAGATAGCTGGAGATAAGTTACCAGCGATTCCAACTCTCACTGTATCCGGGGACCTGGACGGCCTCGTTCGCATTAACGGCATGGCCTACTACTGGCAGTAAGCAAAATAGAAAAGACAATAAATAAAGACCAAAAAGAAAAGAAAAACAAACAACGATTATTATCATGAAATTGTGTAAAGTATGCTATAGAATATTTTAAAAGGCCATATATTTGGAGAGTGAAAAGTAATATTCTCTCTAAATTTAGACCTCAGCGTAAATAACAACATGTAATAAACACTCAAACAGAAGGACGTTTACGGTGTTAACGTGTGTCCTACATACATTTATAAGTACTAACAACTTTTTTACAAGGCTAGTATATTTACACAACTTTTTATTTTTTTTGTGTGTGATTTTATATCTTTTAGACAGCTTATTGATGTCGCTAAACAAAACGCCACAGTGTTACAGACGCACCCAATAGTTACTCTTCTCGGAGTGAACAATGGTCAATTCGCTTCTGGTAGACTGCCAAATACCGTCACAGATTATGACATCCAACCGGAAGTGGATTCTGCCATAGCCCATGACATGATTGCCAAGGCAACGGTTTCATTTATGGTGTCTGTTACTGGGCAACCACGGTTCAGAGTGAAGGAAGCTAGAAAAGTGATACAGAAGGAAATACGGGATAATTATGACCGTTTTCAGGTAGTACATGAAAAAAGTCCAGCTTTGTTTGTAAATTATGCTGATACAACATAGCCCATTAATGTATATTCGTGTCGATAGCAATTTCTTTGTATGAGCGATAAAGGAAAATTAGCATAAGGTAATTGAGAGGAACAGTGCGTGTTCGTTGGACCGACTAATTTGAGTGTCCAATAAGGACTACTTGCTACTACTCTACAATTATCATACGGGCTCTATTGCCTGAAGAGACCGTACGGTCCTTTTGGCAAGCTCTCACGCGGGACTGAAGTCCATCTTCGTGGATAAATTATACTTCAGATGTTTGTTTAACATAGTCGAGATCTGAAAACATAAATTGTAATTGTGCGTAATGGAATGAAAAAGATCGATAATGCAAGGTTTGCAAAGTGCTGATTTGGAGGAAATGCGTTTTCCAGCCATTCGTGTCTTTGTCATCTCTTGAAGAAAACAATGGACATTCACCATGGACTGAGCATGCGCAAGAATTGATAGCAAATCTTTCGGAAAAAACAAAAGCTCTATTAAAGGTAAAACATGCTGTCCCAAACACACACACACACACACACACACACACACACACACACACAACTTTCCAGAGATGTAGAAAAGGAGGAATGAATGGTTACTCTGGAATGGTGGGGGACTTGTTTGCCCTAAATTGGGTATTGTTGCATGTTTGTCACGCCTAAGTAATGGTCAGTGAAGAATGTCACTCTGCCACAATGTACAGTACATGTATACAACTTGACTTATTTAGTGATGGATAAAGATTTTTAACTGATGATCACTATATTTCAGATCAAGTCCAAAGTGGTTTACCCAGAAATCCTCAACCAAACATTTCCCAACTTAACAATAGATGGCAGCAGCGCGTTGGTTTTCAACCCTGCGTCAGTAATTCTAGGAGGAATCCCAAGGTAAATATTCTAGGAGGAATTGAGTGTATGAATAGCTGTTAAATGTACAGTTATGTAGTGTACGTGAGGCAGACTTATTTCAGCATAATGTTTGTACATTTTTATTTTTTATACATGTATTTGAAATAACTTAAAATAAAAATTCTAGAAAGACCTCTAGGAAGAGTTTTGCGGTAGTTATTGTAAGAGGAATCCCGAGGTAGGTTTTATAGGACTCCCGAGGAAGTGTCCTAGTTTGCGAAAGGATAAGAACGGCCGTTCATACTGGGACATCATGAACCAGGCCATTGGGCTGTTCACACTGAGCTGTTCACACTGGGACATCATGGACCGTGACATTGGGCTGTTCACACTGGGACATCATCATAAGAGGAATCCCGAGGTAGGTTTTATAGGACTCCCGAGGAAGTGTCCTAGTTTGCGAAAGGATAAGAACAACCGTTCATACTGGGACATCATGGACCAGGCCAGTGGGCTGTTCACACTGGGACATCATGGACCAGGCCATTGGGCTGTTCACATTGGAACAGCATGGTCCGTGACATTGGGCTGTTCACACTGGGACATCGTGAACTAGACCATTGGGCTGTTCACACTGACACAGCATGGTCCATGACATTGGGCTGTTCACACTGGGACATCATGTACCAGGCCACTGGGCTGTTCACACTGGGACATCATATACCAGGCCATTTGGCTGTTTACACTTGGACATCGTGTAGTGGCCCATTGGTCTGTTCACACTGGGACATCCTGGACTATGCCATTGG